ACTTTTTCAAGAATACTTTTCATGTGATTGGAATATCTTATCTTGTGTTTCTTATCCATTTAGGTTTGTTTGAGTGAGACTTTAGTAAATGCCTTTTTGTTTAGGATACACTAGTTTCGGCTTTCTTGGGCTATATAAATAAAATTTATGTTTTTCACTAGTTTTGTCTGTACACTTAGGATACATTGACACTGATATCTTGGTTGAACAAAAAAGTCCAAACGATCATAGGTTAATACAAAATTAAATCCAAATGGATACTTTTAAAATAACATGTGTGTAAAGACAGTAAATTACAGTAACATACTAAACAATAAAGGAATATCAAAATCATTGGAATGTAGGTACCGACCAAGCCCTGGTTGAGGTAAGACAACAGTGTGATTTTATATGCAGGTGGTCATACAAAACAGGAAATCTTCCGTTAAATTTATATAACAGGAAGTATTCACAATAAACAGTAGATGCGTTCTGGTAAAGTGCTACGCAGAGAAAAACTGGATAAAGTGAGGAGTACTTATAGACTGTCACTGGAAAAACAATTGAATTACAACCTCTCCTAACTTAAAAACTAAGGAAGGGTATCCCAAGGATACATATTTACAAACCAGGACCTAGGGCACATATGGTGAGGACTATCTGAATGTGTTTCATTATTTGGTAACTATACCAGAGGACAGGCAATATTTAACAGATAACAATTTCAATTTGATTGTGATTTTTGCAAAGTTGGTAAAGTAACAGAAATACGTCAAATGGACTATATACTGGATATGATTATTTTAACTCTTTCAGCTGATCTATAACGATGATAAGTTTTAAAGGCAGTACATTAAATCCAACAAGCTCCGGCCAATCGAGCTATAATATCAAGAGACAAGCGCTGTGTTCATTACCTTAAACCCACTATCATTCTCGCCAGGTCTCTTCCCTATGCATTGCAACTAATGGACTTATCATATTAGCCGAAAACAACATGAAGGAAAATGGTCACTAACATCTAGAATTAATCGTGTATTATGATTAGACATCTGTGGTGTAAGGCATCAACCCATATTCAAAACCGTCGCCAGTTGACAGACATGAATGAATGGAATAAAGAATGTGTACATAGAAAATGTGTGTTAGATGAGGCTCTAGCGCAGGGCGTCAAATACAACAAATCTTTTATTAATATTGTTTAGATGCGTTTAACTCACTACCCAATAATTCACTACTGGCTAATTGTGTTCTGTTGGTGCAAAAGACATTCAGAGGATTAAGCCGGGTGGGAGGGAACGTGTTAAAAAATGTAAAAACATAAATTTCCATCAGTCTCGTTTGAGTCAGTTACCAAAGTCTAAGGAATTTTGTTTACAATTTGCAGTGTGACCTAAAGAGATTTTGCCAAATGATAGAAGACATCAAGACTATCATGAAGAACGGTAAACAACTAGTCTTAAACACTCCAATCAGCAAGCAAAGTTTCAATTTTAATCACTGTCTTGATTGAAATTTGTGAACATCCACTGCTAGGCTTTAATGTAAATTTGTATGGTCTTCTGCGGAATCTCTAAGCACATTTTCTCCGTCCTAACAATTGTTTGTGCACACATCTGTCAACAGGCAACAGATTGCGATAGAAGTTGACCTTCCTACGGAAATCTTCTCACAGAACGCAATATATACTTGGCATGAGCATGGATTTTCTTTTCTACTACCTACTGTGACGAGACTAAATTGTTGTTTAGGGGTGAGAACCAGCTAGCGTAGGAGAGGTAAGGTGAAGAGCACGGCGTTAGTCTGAGATTGTAACTGCTGTAAGTTACCTCTCATGGCTGCAACAGGAGCTCAATGGTGACTTTACTTTACAGACAGCCCTTTTGTTACAGAAAACATTAGGGATGGTCAAGTCTCGAAATTTCGGGACATTTTCGGGAAATTTTAAATCTCGTTACACGAGACGAGATTTCTTTTTGGCCGAGATTTTTATCGAGACAAGAATAATTATAATAAAAAAAAAATTAAAAAAAATTAAAAACGCCTGCAGAAAGTCAATGCAATACCCGCAATACAGGAGCGTGTTGTAGTTGCGTTTCCTTTGCGAAGGCGTTCTTATTTAATTAATTCTTTAAATGTAAATATTACTTTAATTATTTTAATATTATTACTTTAATAACATTTGAGAAGTTTTGTTAAGTGTAAGCAGTGTGAGGAATGTTTTATTACTATAAAAAGTCAAAACAAGTAACTATTTTATAAAAATTAATATTGCTTTTATTTTATGATTTATTTTATTTTAGGATAAGTTGAACTCTTTTCTAACTGGTATCACTTTGTTTCCTAATCGTAGGCATTTTTAATAAGTTAGGCGTGATTAATAAAAAATTTTATGCTGATGTTTTTAGTAAAAGATTGTAAATATTCTTGCCTATTATCATTATTTTTGTATTTAAACAATCATCTAACAATGTTACAAAATCAGGTAAAAATTTTGAACGTGCATTTCCCGTTGTGTATGAGAAGGGATATCCCGTCTCGATCTCGTCTCGAAATTTTATGAGAAATAAAAAATCTCGTCTCGTCTCGTCTCGAACTAAAAATCCAATCCCGTCCATCCCTAGAAAACATACTACTATAACCCAGAATGCCCAGAAGTACTTTGAGAGAGCTTTGCCTGTCAATTCGTAGGCAGCGCCACCAGCGTTGCCATGCTGAGTGCATAGCTGCCTACGAATTGACAGGCAAAGCTCTCTCAAAGTACTTAACGCATTTTACCATGGGGTTGGCATTCTGGGTTATAGCACAGAAAACGTACTACTATAACCCAGAATGCCAACCGCGTGGTAAAAAGCATTAAGTGTTTTGAGAGAGCTTTGCCTGTCAATCGTAGGCAGCGCCACCAGCGTTGCCATTTACTCAGCATAGCAACGCTGGTGGCGCTACCTACGATTGACAGGCAAAGCTCTCTCAAAACACTTAATGCTTTTTACCATGCGGTTGGCATTCTGGGTTATAGTAGTATGTTTTCTGTGGTTATAGTAGTATGTTTTCTGTGCTTTTGTTCAAGGCATTGACTATTGGATAATGAAGTAGACATCCTATCTATATGAATCAGCTGTCGCCAATTTTTTATTAAAAAACAATATAATTGAATGAGCAGCCAGAATGCGTTAATTATTTTTGCACCAACTTCATAAATAATTTTTCAATCATTTGGCACTGCTGATGGGTGTTCTCTGGACTTCACACCACTCGTCCAAATGCAAACTCTCATTAAAGGTAGGCCTAAACGGGCTGTTTTTTTAAAAGGTTTACCATTTATTTATTTTGCATAGTGTGCTCTTTGGACATTTTGTTTTGTGAATAAAGATGAAATGCATCTCTGTTTTGTTATTTTAGTTTAGTTTTAGTGACTTGGCCAATTGTTAAAAACCGAACGGCTAAATAAATCTTGAATCCTGAACCATGGATTAAGCTGTAAATAGGAATCCATATCATGTTATGTCTTTCCCATAAGTGTTCATTTAAAAAAAAAATTGTTTTCTTTGGTTAGTGATTTTGTACAGTTTTATAAATTCTGTAATTTGATTACCATAACAGATGTGTAATATCTTTGGCTTAATATCTTAACTGACTAGTAATTAACATACTAATGTAAAGCTTACAGTAAAAAATCAATAACAAACATTTCAGATACTATATTACGAGGGTTTTATGTTATTTCCACAAAAGGACAAGGTTATTAATTCAAAGCTATAATGAAAAACTCTACTCCATTGAGCAGTCAACAAAGAATATATCCCCCAATTTTACTGAATTAGAATTACTTTACCCTACTCATAAGAGAATTTGTTTAACTAGGCCCAATTATCGTGGCAAACCACATGGTGATATATTTTTACAGGATAAAGCTAGTGAAAACTTAATACAAGATGATGGACTGAATTGATATATTCCTCAATATATTGATGCAGTCATAAAAGGTCAAACCCATTTTCATATTTAATTGACATATTGAAGCTAGGTATCTTGCAAGATTGTGTGATCTTTTATAAAGAATAATTGACAACTTTTATTTTCATATAAGTAGGTCCACTGTCAAGCTAGGTAACCCAACACATGGAATTTAAATAAAAGAGCGAGCAGCACTAGAAGCATGAAAAACTTTTATGATAGGCTTACAATTAGGTTTTGTGTTGATTTCCAAACAGTTGTTTAGAAAAGTATGAATGACTGATGCAAGTTACTGACTTGACTTAAAAGAGTTAAGTACAGATTCAATAATACCTCTTTAATTTACCTATAGTAAAGTAACGTGCAGATATTTGTACGGTACCAACAAATTTTATCTTTTTGGGTACCTGAGTAAGTTATATGCTTGTCTTCAATTCCAGGCGAGCATACCAGGTGATAGTAGAAACATATCATAAAGACCCAGTTGTTAGCCTATTTTGCATTGGGTAATAATGATGCTTTCTGACAACATGTTACAGTAACTAATTACCAGTATTTAAACAGTTCCCTCACAAAACACAATAGATTGATCTGGCATATAAAAACACTATTGACTGAAATTAATGAATAGAAATTACTAATGATTACAGTATAAAGGCTTCAGACTATAGTAATAAAACACCGAGAACAAGATTCATCGTTACCTAGTGGATTCCATAAAAAAAAACTTTTACATTATCTTATACCGTAATGGATCATAGATCATAATGGATTGATTTTAAAAACAATAAATGTATGATTAGCTAATTAATAAATATATTGGTTAAAACACAAGAACTTACCATTAATTTTTACAATAACAGAATCACAAGACATTGTTAACATTCAAACCCTAACCACCTGAGGTTTTTGTACCGGCAATTTGCAAGGTTACACAGAAGTGTTATCAGTTAGACTGAATATAGGAAACTGCCATTATTAGGATTTTAATATCTAATATCCTATAGCTTTAAGATAAAATAATTGTGACAGTGGTTTAAAACCAAACAAAAACCCTAACTTACCTACATGGCATCATCTTGCTGGCCTTTCTTAAGACAAAGCGGAGTGTGGTGAAACCAGCAGTGACGTACAAGATAGCTATTCCTGTAGAACTTGGCGTTGCAAGCACCGCAGCGATACTGTGCCGTCAAGTTGAGACCTCTGTGGTGATACTGCAGATGATTCAGAAGCTGTGCGTTGTTCTCAAAGTCCTCATGACACAAGCCACATTTGAAGTGATTCGTAGTTAGTGGGCTTATACCGTCATTTTCCAAATGAAACTTGGTAAAGAAAGAAGTGGTCTTCTCGCAAGGGTTTTTCGGTGGTGTAGTAATTGGTTTGAAGGTCGATGACAACTGAGTCTGTGGCTTTTTCTCTTTTTTAAACAAAGAAAACCACCTGATTTTATTCTTCTTTTCTTTATTCAGGTCAACCATACCAGTGTTTTCTTTATCCTCGTCAATAGATTCTGGTATATCAAATCTAAGTTTTCGACGAGCACTATTTTGTATCCTGATTGCTTCGTAACTTCCGTTGTTAGGTGGTGTTACAGCACAGCGATTTTCATCATGAAGGTTCATTTCCTCCAATGGATCCTTAGGAGGTTTTAGAATCGATTTCACTCGTTTCACTTTACCTCCACTTCTACTGGCAGTAGGCTTTTTCATTGCTTTGTCGTCATCCGCTGAGTTTAGGTCTTCAATATCTTCACAAAAAAATTTCATATCTTTTGAACTGAGAGTGATGCTCGTGTTCTGATGCTTGAGAAAGTTCTCTAGTTCATTCATGTGTTTTTTCTCCACATGCATAATCAACCTCTTGACGTGTTTTTGCAGCAGTTTGAAGGAACAAAACCTACACTGAGCATAGTTGTTTCGCCCGAGGCCCAAGAAGACAACCGAATCTTCATGTTTGTGCAGAACATGTTTTGGAAGAAGATCTTTTACATAAAATTTAGCATGGCAGAAAGGACAAGCGTGAAACTCAAAATAGTAGTTGGTACTTTTGGCAATATTCATGATTTCAGTTGGATGAGAATTCTTTATGTGGTCTTTGAAGATGAATTCAAAATGACACGTAAAGCAGCAAAAGGGACAGTAGAGGACGACAGGAACATTGCAAGCTTCAGAGATAAACTGATTAGCGATAAAGCTAATGTTCTCAGAATCGTCGAGTATTTTGTTCTGTGGAGACATTGGTGATGAAGTGAAGACATGACTTCGGAATTCATCAAATCTACTATCGTCCATAAACGGTAACATGGAGCCTTTCTTGGTGTTAGCCAAGAAATCTTTGTAGTCTAAGTTTTCTTGGACTGTTTCTGTGCTGCTATTGGCAAAAACATCTGCAGAGTCGTTCAACTCAGCCATTCTCGATACCCTGAAAAACATTAGGTGGTTTAAAAACTATAGTAAACCCATTTTCCTTATCAACTAACATAATTTTGAAATGGTTCTTTACTAAAATCTATAATTTACAAAATCTATAATAAGAAGAGAAATGATATGTTTAAAAAACATAATTGACATAAAAACTCATTTGATGTTATACTATGCATACTCCTATTCAATTCTTCAATATGGAATTGAATTCTGCGGCTTTGCATCAAACATTGATTTAATTTTTAAGATTCAGAAAATTTTTTTAAGAATAATGACATTTGCACCATGGAGAACATCATGTAATTTTTAAAGAATTAGCAGTAATGACTGTTCCGAGTTTAAAATTTGTTTAAACACTTTTGATGGTAGAAGGAAATTTTGAAAAAGTATGTAGTGAAAACGTTGAGCATAGGTATGATACTAGGTTCAAAACTAACTTTCAATATCCGCGGCATCGTCTTTCAATAGTAGGAAAAACTCCGACATACATGGGCAAAAACTATTTAATAAACTGTCTCAAGAATTAAAGAACAAAATACATTACAAGCATTTCAAAAGCAGCCATGCTAATTTTCTTTTAAGAAAAACTTATTACAGTTTTCTTCTGTCATCTTCTGTAAAAATAAATTTGTTTAAACAAAATGTTTTAACTGATATAGGCCTACTGTATTTTGCTTATAGCCTACCTCTTTTATTTTTATAACTAGGCCTAGCCTAGTCAAAGAATTCATCTGTTCAAATATAAACAAACATTTTCTCCCTAAGAATAACATGGGAACTTTGAAGGCCACTGGGGCAGAGCCCTGGTGGTATTCCAAAGTTTTTTTGTTTGATGGCAAAACTACATGCTAAGACCTTTCTAACGACACCTTGAACATGGTGAATGGGTATTCTTTTCTCTTTTGAACATGGTTCTTTTTTTAGTAAAAAACACTTGATATGTTGTTACCAGAGGCTGAAGATGGGTTTAGATGAAAACTCGAAATATACCTCCACATTTTTTAGTAAATTGTAATTAATTTATTTTAGTGATGAGTAGCCAACAAACCAAGAATAACATTGATAATGCCATCACGAAAAAAACATACTGGAATGAAAGTTAAAATAAGTATTACGGTTGTATTTGAGTGGAAGTACATGGTAAAATCTTTTGGTAGGCTTTCATAAGGGGGCCAAAAACAACCTAATGAAAAAAAATCAAAATTTTTATATTGAACCGATATGTTAAACTTAAATATTGATATAGGCCTAGGGTATCTTATGTTTAAGTTAAGGGTGCGCTTTACCTCAGCTCGGGCTTCAGTAGCTATATTTCACCATTGGACAGCGCTGCGAGAAGCGTTTGCAGACGTTTCCAAGATTACTGTCTTAGAATTAACAAATAATGATAGCTACACACTCTAAACGGCTTATAGTAGTACAAAGACCAATCTATAGTTCTGCGTTTTTCAAATGTTCAAAAAACGTTTTTTTTAATAAGTTAAGGCTAGTTGAAAAGACCCTTTTTTTCTTGTACCACAACTCAAGTTTATAAGGTGTGTATTTAAAATAATTGAAATATAGAAACAAAGAACTATATAAAATTTCATCCTCTTTAATATGAGACCTTAACTTTGATTCTACCTTCAATGTAGCAGGTGAAAACAGAAATCTTGCAAACCCCTGCAATCGGTTGCGCGTCAGAGGTAAAGCGCGCCCTTAAGTTCAATATCAAATTCATTCGTTTGAATATCGGGGGTAGACTTCCGTATCTGTTGGCACAAACAACCGATGAAAATATCGATTGTTTCATTCGATATATATCGTTTGGTTAGTTAGGTTAACTTTACCTAAGTTAACTTAACCAACCAAACGATATATTGAATAATCGATACTTTCATTTGGTTGTTTGTGCCAACAGATACGGAAGTCTACCAGAATATCGGTATATTTAAGTTCGATTTTTTATTCGGTTGTTTAAGGCCCCACTTATGAAAGTGTCCTTCAAAGTCTGACTTGAACTCACATCGTTTAAGTTGAACAAACCTTTCACACAATCAGTCGAATCATCTTGTTCACATGAAATTGAACATGTACAGCAGGCTTAAGATATACTTAAACTAAGTTTAAGTTAGGCCTAGGCTATTCTGGGGGGGTATAGCCTAGTAGCCTAAGACCTTAGGCTTACTCAGAAGTAGATCTAAGTAGTCTATTTTTTTAGTAGGCAAGACCTATATTAAACAGCCAAACAAAATACAGTAATGTTAAAAATGTACCTAGGGCCAAGTTAAACTACAATAGGCTAGGCCTTCGTCTAAACAGAACTTTTCGGGATGTGCTAGCCTACATCAAACTAATTGCAAATAGCAAATGCAAGTAAGTACCTAGTAAGTGATCAAATTTGTTAAATTTAAAGCGAGTCTGTCAGATTTTTTTTAGATAATACGTGGATAATACATTTTTCCTACGCTACCGTAACCGTTAAACAACACAAATAGGCTAGCTAACATAACAACTTACCAACAGTGTAAACACTGATTATAAGGGTTTAGTGTGTTCTACGAGGCTATTAATTTATAAGTTAGGGATTAATTTGTTTCAGCATATAACTCATTCCCTATGTTTTTCAGTTAACTTATAGAAAAATTGTATAGAATTTAGAAGTGGAATTCATTCAAATGTTTGAATTTAAAACTGACAGTTTCGTTTCCTTTCGTTTTTGCACTGGTCCTTTTCCCTTTTCCCGTTAAATCCGGTGTTATTGCGGAATCATGGAATGGAACATCTGCTTCTTCTTTTTTCTTAATAACTTTCATAACTTTATGGCATAAAACCATAAAACTGTAACTGAACATTAAAAACATCCAGCAATGATTATAATAGATAGCAGTAACATTTTGGGTTTGGGGTTTGGGCCCCATAACAATTTCTAGTGGGACCTTGCTTTGATTCCAGGCCGCGGCTTCTCCTCAGATTATTTGGATTCTAAAACTTTTGTTTAATGTCTTCAAAACGATGACTGTATTATAGTTTAATTGTGTTGAAATTGTACTGACTGACCTTTCCTATTGCAATTTATATTGTTTAACGGAATAAAGAATTGTCTATTGTCTATTGGTAGACAACACCACTTGCAACGTTGCCAATATTCTACCAGGCCGCGGCCTGCCTTGCCGTGTGCATGGTCCTAATTGACTGACCATTGTATCTTAAAATGTAGAGCATTTGTAGTGGGCGTTCCATGCTGCTGACGTATAAACACTCGTTGGCGAAATGTTCAATGTCCAATATTTTATTTTGGGACAGATTTTGTGATTTGCACTTTACTATTTATATTTAAAACCGGACGGCAAGCTATGATTATAAATATTTTGTTTTATTTAAGTTAGCTAATATAGTAATAAATGAGTATAAAAACAAGAAACAAACACAAAGCCCAAAAATGTTACGAATAATTGTACATTAACTTGGTCGGAACTAACTTTAATATAGCATGTAGATTCTTATCTAAGAATATAATAAATCTCAACACTGCTATTTATAAGGATAAGGTATTCGTACAGTTCCTAAATATTTAAAATTATAGTTTATAGTACCACCAAAGCTTATGAGACATTACCTTACATCCTGTAATGCTCACAACTGATACACGACAACAGTGGTGGTCGTTGTTACTACGACAAGTTCCAAACTATTCAGCGTTTCGCAGCGTTTCAGGGGGGGGGGCCGGTGGGCCGATGCGCCTTCTCAACGTTCCAATATTTGCGCCCTCGTTTAAGGAAAAATTTGTTAAAATTAAAAACAATGAGCCGAGATGTATTTCTAGAAAGCAAGAGGGAAAACTTAGGAGTAATAGTTTCAGCAGTGAATAGCAAAACATAAGTCGGGTGTGGTGAGACCTGAATAGACACTGTCGACAAGCGAGAGCAAAGCAACTGTTCTCTCTCGTACGTGTAGGCATACTCCGAGTGGATGACACTTTGCTCTGTGGTCGAGCGACTTAAAAACAGCTGTCCGCTTCCCGCGTAATTTTACGCCGAACCCGAAAAAACTGAGCTGCAACCGGCATCTGTCGGCGACTCACGGTGTCGTCTGTTGTAAACAACTACATTGCATTACATTACATTTCTTTGTCATGAGAGCCGAAGCCCCCTGACTACATACCCGGTACCTATCGTGTGACATACCCGGGCCCCATGATGTAGGCCGAAGCTTACGCATCAACCTTTAGCACATCATGGGCGGATGACTTAAGGTCATCAAGCTCACCGGCTGCCGAAGCAGACCCTTCGGAAAGAGGGTTGCCCCTCAATCCTAACCAGGGATTCCGGCTACTTGTTTAAGCGTCACTCCAGTTGGGTTCCACCAGGTACGGCACCCTGGAGGACCATACTGGAGCGCCCCGACGCATTTAGTGCAAGTGACACTCGGGACCTATCTAATCCCTGACAGGCAAGACCCGCCATCATAGCCAGGAGGAAGGGGACCGTCAGCGAGCTGACGGGGGAACCCCAACCTCCCATTGACACCACTACCCGATCGAGGCCTTACCCAGTTGCTGGGAAACCAGAGATATCCAGAGCGATAGATCCCCAAATACCCCTGGCGGGCTCGGACCCAGCACCCGATCTACTTCGTTTGCCCGTCAGACCCAACATCACTGCCAGGCCATCAAGGTTTCCCAAAAGGAGGCGGGTATAGAAGTGGGACCCACCCGGATGAACCTATCCACCAAAGGTGGCGACACCCTTAACTCAATTGAGGTTCCGGGAAGAACCCCCCACACTCAAGATAACCATACCGTCCGTGATCAGAGACAGGGATTGGTTTGCATAAGTGCCTACAAACCGTTGCCCTCACACTGCGGAAAGTTACGTTTCCCTTGAGTGTCCCCATGAGCTGCGGGTACTTGCTCGTTTTCACCTCCAGGAAAGGCTACTTCCAGAGTCGAGGATATGCCACACTGAATGCTGGTCGCACACAACAAGCAGGCCGAAGCCCAAAGAACC